TCATTTCAATATAAGGTTTTGATTAAAAACAAAACAGCAACACTCAGCAGAATCTACCAGACTTTTACAACTAAACTACACTCTTCTGGGATTAAGTTCAAGAGACAATGTAACCTGGGGTTTGCTCTTTCCAGAAATCACCACTATCAATGCCGCTTCTAAGAGCAGGATGTACACAACCATTTTTCCTCTGGAAAAAGCTACCTCCCAAAGAATGGCATTGTTGTGTTTTATAAATGCATTTTTTGTACCATATTAATACACTGTAAATAAATTATAATTGCAAGTACTTCCCACAGATACTTAAATCCAAGTTTAAAAGCAATAAGCCAAAAAAACTATTTGAAATAAAATTTCTAAAGAATCATACAAAGAATGACTTTAAATAAATAAAAATTCAGTGTTTACCTGACACTCAGAAAAAAAAAGAAAAGAAAAACATATAAATGTTCTAGTGGAACTGAAAGAATTAACTATAATCTTGAATGATGTTTTATTTTAGTCAACTCAGATAAAGATTTTCATTAAATGTCATTTTACTGACTAGTTCTGAATTACATCTTTCACCTTAAGCGTTTTGACACTTCCATCAACTTTCTAAAAGTGAGGGTGGATTGTTTTTCTATGTTTTTAACAGACTTGCCTCTTAAAAGACTCAATTAGATAAAACCTGATAGGAGAAACCTATTATCAACCTCCCCTGTTCATCAGCAACAACCCTTTGGGTAAGCCTTGGCTCTGTGTACTGTTTAGGTGATAATCCGAAGAATTCACATCAGACAATGATGTAACTAAAACCGTTTCCTCAATTAATCTGGACAACCTGTCAACGTTTTACTTTACAAGCCTGTTTTTCATCACAACAAATGTTAACGTACAAGGTAATAGTTATTGTTATTTTCTAACTTCCAGGAGCCAAAAATCATTATTTTGTCTGTTTTTCCATTTCTCCCAAAGTAGCAGAATTCTCCTCAGGGCTCAGAATCATCTTTATATTTCCAAACCGAAGGAATACTGTCAAATTTAAAATACTATAGCAGTTGGCTACTCTGAACGGTGTAATTTTCCTGACACCAGAACTAACGATCACAGGACCTTACCGCATCACGAACACAACCACAATGGCCATGGCACGTAAATAAGCACACACAGCTTATCATGAAAGGACCCAACCCACACAATCTCCCAAACAAGCCGCGAGCAGCTGTTGAGCGACAGTGTGGACAATTTCGAGCGCCCCTCGGCGGGGTCCGCGGCCAGGCCGACCCCAGCCCCACGCCCTCCTCACGGCCCCTCTTTGTGCAGCTGCCCGCGCCTCCGCCGGCGGCTCCGACCCACGCGGGGCCTCGGTCGGCCACAGCGCCGACACGGCCCTCGCCGCGGCCCGGGGCCGGGTCCTCCCGGGGGTCTCCCGCAGCAGATGGGGGCGGGCGAGAAGGCCGGGCCCAGGGACCCAGAGGGAACGGGCCCGGACGGGCGTCCGCCTGGACATCGGGACTGCGAGGACACAGGCGCCCGGCCGGCGATCCTCTCGGGGACCCAGGGTGGCGGGACCCGGGGCTGCGAGGGAAGGGGGCCCGCCAGGGGGCTTCCGGGGGCCAGGGCCTCACCCGCGGCCGGGGGCGGCTCTCCCGCGTCGGCGGCGGCGGGCGCCAGGGTGACGGCGCCGTCCCTCCAGACGCGGACCTGCGCGGCCGACCGCGCGCGGCGGCGGGGCTGGCGG